ACAGCAGCCCTCAGGTGTGGAACAACAAAAGCGGGCACATTTTCTGCTTTCTCACCTGTATGTACTATGAAGAATCTGAGACCTTGCATACGTACATGGTAGAATTTGTTTACTGAGTCAGTTTTTCAGCTAAAGCTGCTAACAATTAATGCCTGTCAGGCTTTGGCTGAAATGGGAACCCAGTGGAGAAAATACATGGTGAGGCATATTGTGTTTGCTATAACTTGACAGTGACAGTAAGGTGAAGAAGCTACAAACTGAGGTCAGGAAAATAAATGAATACAGCAACATGGAAGAAAAAAATCACTGAGCCTCCTATAAGAATATTTTATGAAATGAATATTCAGTTCCTTGTTATTTACAATATACTTAAACATTTTATTTCTGCAGAGAATTACTCTTTTGATAATGAGAATCATAACTTTTCCCATTGTGTGCTAAGAAGACAATTTACATGTCACCTCCTTGAGTGTAAAGAACTGTGTCATATTCATGTTTACAGCTCCAGAAATCTTGCCACATTATCCAGGTTATAGTTAGGCTTATTCAATTCACCTAAATTCCTGAACATCAAGTCTACATTAGAAACATTAAGGATTTTTATAAAATGATTTTCAAATTCTCAAACTTCTTACAATAATGTTTCCCAGTTTTAGCAATCCACATAATCAAAAATGGCAGCCTTAGGTCTACAGTTTGTTATAATGTAAATATTCCTCGTTCTACAGAAAATGTATATGAAGAAAATGTCTTAATTATGGATATCTGAATAATATAAAACAAAGATAAATTGCACAGGGCACTTTTATATTAAATAAAAACATATAATTTGTTTTCTATACCAAAGTAGTCATAACAACAGCTACCTGGATAATTAAAATAAATTTAATTTGATTTATTGTTGTACATATCTGACATTAACCTATTAAAGAGTTCTCTTAAAACTATGTAATTATAAAATGAGTTGTATAAATAGGCCCAGTGCTTCATTTTACTTTATGAAATAAGAATATACCCATTGTGTCTATGCCATGTACCTTAGACACATTTTATTTCTATAGACATTATCATACAACTTTCCATGATGTTATTAAAATTTAATTGTGGATTCCTCCAGGTTTATAACAAGATAATATATTTATAATTATTTTAATAGTTGAAATATAGTTTTCATTTTATTGGGTTTATTTTTTGATATTAGAAATCTATCAAAGGTCTAATCAATCCAGAAATATATTTTTTTAAAATAGTACAGGAAAATATTCAGAGTTGTCTTTATAATATGACTGAAAGACTTGGAGAGAAAAGCAGGGGTTAAAAATTATCCTTTAACTACCCACACACTCCTGGATTTTGAGAGGATGCTCTTTTAATACTTTTTTCTTACTGCAGTATTTGTTGCTTAGGAAGTCGGTGGGTGGATAAGATGTATTATCCCTCCTACACAAGCCCGTTTTTGTATTTACAACACTGAATCTCCATTCTTTCAACTATTTTCTGAAATTCTTTGAAATTTGGTTCACACATTACCACACATTACCTTTCTATAAGACGCATATATAGTCAATTATACTTTATCCTGAATTTTTTTCAACTTTGGGTCTATCCAAAAAGGTTATTTGTGTAGATGCCTTTCCAACTAAACTTTTTTGTTTGAAGACAGAATTCTATAAACAGTGGGTCTTAGGTTCAAAACTAATAATACAAAATTACTGTTTATGTTCATGAGTTTTCTGAAGCACTAAACGAAGATAGAGTTACTGGAATGGGAAAAGCCAACCCTTTAAGATTTTTATCCAGTATTTGTTTCTCATTACTCAACGTGTACCTATATGAATGAATGCACATTTGTAGATCATGCTGCAGTCACAGTAAACATGTCATACCTAAGTAAAGACAGCCCTTTGAATTGTTTCATCTGAATAAATAGATCCATTGTTAAAGATTTTAAAACTCCCTATAAATGTATACTAACAAGTTAATGTAAATTTTATGAAACCTTTATATCCCTTTTATACTGCAGTAAAAGTGTTTCCTCAAATGCACTAAATGACAGGTATGCTTTTGTGCAAATGGGTTAAGCTTAAATGATTTTTTAAATAATCAGGTCTAATCTTCATTGCTAATGTAATATTCATTCATATAAAAATAGAGAACAATCCAAAACAGTAAAAATTGATGTATTTTAAAGTGATTTCGGATTTGGAGGTTTAATAATATCATTTATGATAGTCACATATATGTTTTACAAATAAATTTGTTCAAGTCGCTACTCAGATCAACGCACTCCATTTGGGAATTATATTAACTTTTGTTCGTATAAATTAGAAAAATAACCATTAACCACCCAAAATGCTTGGAAAGATGCCCCAATTATTAATTAAATGCACATTACTGAGAATATATCATATAGAGACCAGTTATTGGGTTGTCGGAAAAGTCATGATGCATTTTTGCAACAAAAAACATAGAAAAATACGTCATGATTTTTCTGATAACCCAATAGAACAATCACTAGCTAGGATTGTTGTATTAACCAAACAATCACAGGCAATTCAATCACTTCCGGTTAATTCAAAGGAAACTGATTCTGGCTCCTCTGATACACTGGTCATAGGAACTCTGTCAGAATACAAAAGCAGGTCCCTCCACTGTATAGCAGAGGTAGTGAGTCAGATATATTTTATGTACAACCCAATGGATATGTGAATTGGAATTGTACAGGTCATTCTAAACTAGGTTTTTAAGTTCAAGCTTTTTTGCATCTTGTAATACATTAAAAATTAAAGAAAATTAAATCCATTTGCATTGCAGTGCAAATAAGACTTAAAAAACAAGACTTAAAAAAAATTCAGTTAAAATAAAACTGTTCAGTCTCTGATTTAAAAAACAATTTATGCCACTAGGAGTAAATACTCATTACCACAACTTTCAGAACAACTACTTTTAAAAAATACAATTCAGAAACAAATGGGGTAGATGCTTGTTTTTTTTCTAAAGCAATTATCTCGTAAGAGCTTGATTTTTTCCCAAGTTACTGTAAAGCATCTATAATTGAAAGGAAGAGTAAGAAAAAAAAAAGAAAAGAAAATAAGTGAAAGTGGTTTCCAACTAATGTATGAGGTTTAAGTTATAAATATCATATTCATGAGATTAAAATTGTTTCCTAAACAAAATTATCTTATTCTGATCATATGACAGCATAATAAATCAAATATTTCAATGTAAAATGCAACAAGGAAGAATAAATGAAAGTTGGAAATTAGTGTCTGAAACATAAACTATGTCTTATTATTACAAAATGAAGAAAAATAAAGAAATGACATATGACAGGAGACTCAAATAGAACAAAGTATATCATGATGTTCTAACAGAACATAGCAATAAAGACATTCTGTATTCTGTAATCTATTTTGTTTTGTTTTTAAAGATGCTAAGAAATTAACGAGACTTGTTGCATGAACAGTGGAACAGTTGAAGCTTAATACAGCATCTGCAAATTTATGTAATCTACACATAAGACTAGCTAAAAAATAAACAGAATTTTGCATAAAAACCACTCCCTTAAAAGAAATATTAAAATTGATTAATTTTTTAACATTCCAATAGTGAAACATCTACTCAGGAAACACTATCTTCTTTCCTTCCTTTTTGTCCTTCTTTACGATTTAACTTGCTCTTCCAAGCTCTTCTTTTCAAATCACTAGGGAAACTTTTTTAGGAATACTATACTAATCAGCCATAGGGGGGAGAAAAACTAATTTCTTAGAAGTAGTGAAAGATTGTTCTAACATGAAATGACTGTCCAATGTCATATGACATTAAATACATTTAATGCTCTTCTGGTGCTAAATCTTGACTGCTCAGTTTTAGTCTTCCTGGAAAAAAATAGTGCTCCAATGTGCTGCTCTAATTGTGTTCTCTGGGTTTTGCTTATTTGTACTAGTTAAACCTCTCATTACATAAAGCTACTTGATAAATTTTTAATGTGTTACCAGAACTAGATAAAGTGTGCAGTAGAGATCTGACTTTCCTGAACCCAAGGACTTCTTTTATTTAATCAAATTCTGCATTTAAAAACTAAAATTTACTTGGGATCACACATTTAATCATTTTATATACCTTAGGCAAAGCCTTGAGAATATTTATATTTTTATTCATTCTCTTATTATTGTTGTTGAAATTATATCTAGTTTTTGTTTTTTGTTTTTTTTTCTTGTGCATAAAGGTGGAATTTTGTTTGGATTTTATTTGGAAAAACATTTTGGGAAATTTGCAATGAAGGCTCAATCCATAAATAAAATCTTGAATTTTATTTATATGAGTACATCAGATCAAATTTTAGAAGTTTCTAGCTCTCTCTTATTGATATATGTCATGAAACACACAGCTAAATAAGGAAAACATATACGTATTTTATTTTACTAAAAATAAATAAGGATTAATTTAATCAAAGAAGTAAAGATACTATCTTATTTTCATTGGCTTATATTTTGTTTACCTTTTTTTGCTTTTCGTTTATGAGCCCAAGCTCCTTCAGTTTCAGATTATTAATTTGATAATTAAGAACTGTTTACAGGATAGTTATGTATGTGTTAATGTTAATGCCTGGGAATTGAGTACAATATTATAAAAACCCAATATTTAAATGATCAACTCATGTTTGTTTGTTTTTTGTCCTGCCAAATATGCTTGGAATCTTCTGTTAGGAAGTTTTGACATACATATCTACCTCAAAGATAACTAAGACACAAACAAGTAAATACATAAGGAAGATTCGATGGAGACAGAGTTCTTAAGTATGATTAATAAATAAATCAAATAATTTGCATGGTATATGTATTTCCTTAATAAAAAGAATGATATTGTTTTATTTTCTCCTTTCCTAAAATGTCAAATGTGAATTCCTCTCAGGTCTCTATAATGGCAAATACATAAGTAAACATCCATAAATAATGTCCACATGTAAGTCTTCAAATATATAAAAAGACAACTCCTACCTCCATCTCCAGATCCAGATCCTGCATCTGGGAGGGAAAAAAAGAAATATTTTGTTTTTGCTTGAAAACAGATTCAAAAAACATGTATGACTTTTTTAGTTCATGTTTACTTTCAACATTGAGATATATATTGAGAAAACTGAGATATAATTGAGAAAATTACGAATACTTAATCTGAAAATATGTATTCACATCCATTTAATTTAATTTCTATAGCATAACTTATAAAATAAATTATTAGTTTCATACTTAAAACTGTATGAAAAAATAATTATCTAGTTTTAAACTAATTCCTAAACTATGTAAAATATGACTATGTAAAATCTCTCATATTTTTTTATTTTAATCAGGATACATTTGGTGTCTTTAACAACAACAAAAAAATGAAAATGAGATGCTTATGATGATCAGTGAGATTCAGAAATTAAACAGTCTTAAGACATGTGGCAAATAAACTCATAATTAAGGCTTTTATTCTTATCAATCACATATGCACAAAGAGAAAAACAGTTTAAAAATAAAAATCATTTTATATAGTAGTTGTTAATATATCTTCCAAATACCACAATTGTGGATGAGTCTGTTACCAAGAGGATCTTTTGTTTTTGAAATCAGTAGAAGAGTGAGATTAATTTTGCCTTTGTGCTTAAAACTGGATATATCCTAGGTGATGCTGGCAGAAAAAACAACAACAACAATAATCTCCTTTCTGCATTTCTCTTTCTCCATTTCTTCTTTCCCCTCCCTCCTATGTAATTACAACTGGTCAGAGTTGTCTATTTCTGAGACATCAGTTCCCAGGAACACCCAGTTTTCTCGTTGGAGTCAAGACAATTGAGTTTCCATCTGCTTCCACCTGTGAAGTGCAGAACACTTCCTTCTGCCTCCCCACTCCTTCGAATTTTAAATGTATTTGGTTATGCATTTCGATGTTAATGCTGGAAAATAAGGCTGGCTCATTTTCTCTGTCTAATATGCCCTAATCTCCCAATGAAATCTCAACCAGGGTTCAAGAACTATATCAAATGCCACTTGTATGAATTTGTGTTTGTATTGTAGTCCAACTAAAGTAAAACATTACTGCCACTTATTTGCCACCATGACACTTTATTGAGAGGCACTGCCTAGAAAGAGGCACAGTGTATAACAATCCACACAAGGCTGACACATATGGAAGAATGAATTACTCTCCAATCATCTTCCTTTCATCACGCTAGGCATTTGTACTGCCATGAAGGAACAGTAGTTTGAATTATCAGCCTTGGTGGAGACTCATATTAACTAAATTCACAAGTTTTAACACTGTATTAAATAAGAATGTCAAGTCTTTAATTAAGTGCTAATGTGACTAAGGCTTATGTTTCTGGGCCATCATATCCTTTTCTTAAAGGCAAGCCGATTGCTAAAACAATTTATAATTTAAGGAAACTCTTCTTAGTAAATGTAAAATAAAATAAGGATTTTAATCATATGATCTGACTATTTAATGATAACAGGTCAAGAAAGGCTGATGCATTCATCTCCATAATAGAACAGTCCTGTCAACTGAACTGATAATCACAAGTCATGGCACCATCACTTTTGAACAGGATAGTGTGGAATAGTCAGTGTTTGTCAAGTCTCCTTTTTGTATGCCTTCACAGCTAAAATTTTAACTGAGTTTATCTGAGTTAACAGGAAAGCTTAATTCAGTATTGCATACAACTATCAGGGGCTAATAACAAATCACACTACTATAACACCAATACATTCTACCCGTGCTTTAGTTGAATGTGTATGGTATATTTTTCCTTTCCCACTATGACTGTAAACTTCTTTAAATCGAGATCCATGTCTTGTTCAGCTTTCTGTACTTATATGCATATTAAGAGAAAATGCATAAAAGCTTAAGGATGCCAAGCTCCAATCATAAAAACATTACTCATTGGATGACATAATGAATGTTACCCCACCTTCCTAAGCTTATTTGTCTTCTACTCAATGAATACAGCAATGTCTATCTCATGGGCTATTTTGAGGCTTATTGTGCAATATCATATTTTAAATGCTTATCACTGTGTCCAGAATGTAACAATTAAAATTTTGAGTGAACATCTTGCCTATTCACCTATAAGTTTGCGAATAAATAGACATGGCTAGGAAAAATCAAGAAAATAACAGTAGTATTTGGCTTGTATTTCCCAGTCATGTTTTTTTTTTTTTAAATCATGCAGCGCAGTTCTTAAGACAATTGTGTTTGATTTGACCCAAATTAAGTGGCTAGGAAAGAAAGAGGAATAGATTGAAAAAAAAAGTCACTTAAATGCATCTCATCATTATGAAAAAAGTGATGGAAAGCTTTAATGATTTCTCTACTATAAGATGGGTCATCTTGGCAAACCAGAGATAAGTAGCCTACTAAAACCTTAGTGAGACAAAAACACCTAAGAAAATAAATCATGCTGTTGGACGTGAATCTGGGCTCCTAATCAATGAATTTCTTATAAGGCAAAGAAGTGAAATTGACAATGAGGCTATAATCCAGACTGCCCAATAAAAAGCTATTTTCTGGACAGAAAATTAAGTTTAAGTTCGATGAAAATAGTAAATACAAAGTTATATCTTCTATTGCCTTTTTCCCCCCTTGAGATCACAACTTGCCACCTCTACTCAGTGTCAACAGCATTAAAAAAAATAAATGGAAAATCTACGAAGTAAAGAATGAGAATCTCTTTTAGATAAAGAATCAGAACTCCAATTTTTTTAGAGTCAGACCTGGTTAGTCAAAATTACTTCAGTCCCTCCATCATTATTCGGATCAAAAACCCTTTAGATTTACAAGTCAATGGAAGATACATTCAGCAATACTGGCTTACTAATTAAATCCTGAAGAAATCTAAGTCTGTGAATGAGCTAGGGATGGATAACTCAATTGTGATTAAATTTTCTACTTGGTTAAGTATTCATTTTTATAGTTTAACCAACACATCAGGAACTAGAATGGAAAGATATGAATGAATCAGAAGACTGCAACTGCATGTGCTGATAAGAACTTTGAGATTGGCAAGTGAGAAAGAGATTTTGCTACCAAACATTTTTAGCCATAATCATAACTTCATGACTGCTTATGAATGCTCTTCACTGATTCTCATCTGGCTGTGAGGCAGACAGATAACCTAGATGATCTTGAATAAGCAAATCCTTTCCTTATAGTCTCTGGTATTTGTTACATCACTTCTGGTTTCTGGCCATCAGGAAGTTTTTTGTTGTTTTTTTTTTGTTTTTTTCTATTCCGTTTGTCCTAAAGTGTCATTTTTAATTTTTTGGTTTTGTTCATTAGGTATGGTAGATTGATTTTTTATAATTAATTTCTTCCTTATCTTTCTATTGGGTTGTCAGAAAAGTCATGATGCATTTTTGCAACAAAAAAAACAGGAAAAATACGTCATGACTTTTGCGACAACCCAGTATTTCCCCCATCCTTACTATCAGAGTGTCATATTGGTCCTTCTTTCCTACTGGAGAGGATGGTCCAATAACTCTCACTTCTTGCTGTTACTTTCACTCATTATTTCTCGATCTGTTTGCTCTGGCAAATCAGAAGTAAGTGGAGCACCAGCCAAGCTTGCCTCACAATCACTCTTCCAGGAAGGACATTCACATTGTGATGCAAAGAATCATGCAGGAGAAAAAACTACTGAAAAACTGAAACCCAAACCAGAAAGCCTGCATCATTTTCCATGAGAAAGGACACATTTTTCTTCCACTAATTCTTGGAAACTTTGTAGTCACCAGTACAACTGGTGACTACTACAACTGCTAACAATCAATAGGCTTAAGATAATCTTTCAAAGAATATGAGATTTTCTCTTTGCTCAATTACTACTCTGCCCCAGTCATCATACACATAACTTTTAACATGATTCCCTAGAAATGCCTATTACCTAAGAGGTACTTTTCAACAAAATAGACTTTTCCTGGTATATTCTTTTACTTCCATTTTCAAAGGAATTTCATATTATTTTTTTCCCTCAATATGCTTATATCACCCAATTCCTCAGAAATTATGGCTTTTCCAGGAAGATGCTTATTTGCCATTAAGGACAACTATCATGGGACATTAAAGTTTCTTTAAGATATGTGATTTTAATGTCTCAAGACTAACCCAAAAGCTCAGCTTCACTTTAAAGTACTACTTTTTCAAGTTCAGGTCTGTTCTGGTTTGTTTGTTTGTTTGTTTTTTCCTGCATGTAATGTTGTTTAATTCTGGCAACCACTGTACACAAAAGAAAAACCTGAAAAACTGAAGATCATATGAAGTCACGCTTCCTTCTCACTTTCTGTATAGCATTCTTTGTACAATATAACTAAAAACTTTGTGGATCCCAGGCTGACTATGTCAGAAAGAGCAGATGTCATTTGAAATAATGTCTACCACCAATACATTCTTCAAAATGATCTACTAAAAGGTAAGCAGAGCATTTTGTAGAGGTGCTCAAGTTAGCCACATCTTGACTTCCAAACCCAAATCTGCAAAGCTACCCTACAACAGACAGTGCTATTGTTCAAAATAAATAAGCAGAAAAACTATATCCATGCATAGATAGGTTTCTGTATATTTGACAACTGGACGCTCAACCTAGATTTCTAATTATATTATTCAACTGTCTGCACTTCATTAAATAACATGCATATTAACATCTGCCAACATGCTATGATTGAGTTTCTCTTTCTTCCAGGAGTGATTTGAAATGCAAACAGACATAGAATAAGAATAATGCATGTTTTACACATAAGAATAAGAGGCTTGTCTAGCCAATATATAGTCTAAATTATTTATTTGGAGATGGCAGGAAAAGCAAGGCATGGGTTTTGGATTTGGAATCCATTCAGAAGCCTTCAGGGAGTCTTCAGGGTTCCATACATACCTGCGGCACATGATCCTTCAGACACCACAAGTATCTCACTCTGCTGCTTGCAGGCAGCCTGCCGCAGGTAACACTCATTCTGGTAGCTCTCTCCATTGGAGCCACACACAGGCACGTAGTCACTGTTGCACTGAGAACACACAGAAGTAAGCCTACGGTTAGTACTGGGTCTGCATGCCTCTGACTTCTTGAACAGAAATAATCATTTAGAAAAGGAAACACTTGTCGTTGTTTTCAGTGATCCTCATTATACCCATTAAGTCTTTGACTTTGCAAGGGCATCATTCAAAGAGACGCAAAAGCAAAGTCAAGTCAGCCAACCAGTCCTTTGATTCAGATAGGGGAAAAAATGCTTCTAAATTGATCAGGCAAGTCCAACAAAGTAATCGGACAAGCAATGCTAAAAAGTGATAGCAACAAATATATCAATATTATAGAACACTGTTTTTCTGATATATAGCCCCTCTGGCTTGGTGGAGAAAATTAAAACATGCTATAATATTCAAGCTATTAAAAAATAGGTAATGTCCATATTTGGAGAGTGAAAGTATATAAATGAAATGCCAGAGAATTTGGTAACTCCTTAGCATTTTTTTTCTTTTTTGAATTTTAGTCTTTAAAAATTTCTGAATATTTGGGTAAACATTTTATTACTAATTAATTTTTCTTATATCTTTAGATCATGGGATATTGATGTAGATACAGTCTAGAGAGAAACAGACTACGGAATACAGGAAAACATTTCAACAACTACTGAACTGTATGTAAACTTTATTAACTATTTAGAAATATGAGAAAAGTTAATTTTAAAAAGTCTCATTACAAAAAAGTACTGACTCTGGGTGGTGAACACACAATGTGATATATACGCATAGATGATGTATTACAGAATTGTACACTTGAAACTTATGTAATTTTACTAACCATTGTCACGCCAATAAATTTTAATTTAAAAAAAAGTACACATTTTACAATGGAAATTAGACCACCTACAACGTGTACTCATCATAATACAATCACAGTCTAAGGTATTAGAGATACTTGGCGTATCCTATACCTGCTAATTATGCCAGAGATGTGATTATCGCATGATTAGTACTACAGATGCACTTCATTATTTAATTATAACAAATGTAATAGTGAAGATGATTATTTATAATACTCACCTATGCCAGAAATGAAGTAAAGCAAACAATGCCTACACATGTATGTGAAAACACTTTTCTGTTTTCTACTTTTTATTAAAATATTTGGATTTTTGATGTATTGTAAATTCATAACACATACAAAATAAACCAATGATCCAGTGAGATAGCTAGGCAAGTTTTAATATATATGATAATAAACCTAAAACTCTATCATAAGTTAAATTCAACTCAAGGATTTAGGCAACAAAAGAGGAAATCCTCAATAAGGTTATGATCTGGTGCTAAAAAAATGAGGTTTATTGTTTTACTCTCTTTCCTTACAATATATATACTTTCTCCTTCCTGATCAACCAGTTAACTGTTGCTGTTTGCCTTTATTTAATAATGGCTTAACCATCCTAACAATTTATAAATATTCTCTGAAATGGAAGCCATTTTATAAGCTTGACTTTGTAACCATTTTTGAAAAGCAAAAATATTTGTTACTAATAGTAATATACTTTTCTCCCAATAGTAAATCTAAATTCTAGGACACGAATATTATGATCACCGTAATTGCTAACATGGTGATTTAGATATTAAATCATATCTATTTAGGAATTATTTAAATATGGTTAAATATTTAAATATTTTAAACATGACACATTTTAGAAATCTTTAGTTCTACCATTTCTAAACCAGACATTCTAGAAGCCCTCTATACAATAATTCATTTCAGCAGTTACACTCTTGGCTTGGAGACAGTCTATCTATGTAATTATACTTTTAAAATGGTTTTGCTTGGAACTTTTCACTAGTGAGGATTCTTTAATTCAATAGGCAATTAAGTTCTGATCAGGTGATACCTGTGTAAAGGTAGCTTTCCAAAAATATGTATATATTTTGGATATACATATACACAGGGTGCCAAAAATATATACACATTTTAAAAAAGGAAGAAAAACTATATTAAAACTGTAATACGCAGTGTATACTGATAACAAAACATGACTACAAGTTACATTTGACTTTTGCAATTACAAGAGGTGCTCAAAGTGGTTACCATCTATGTAATTTTAACACAGTTTTTCTCTTTCTTAAAATGTGTATACATTTTTTGGCACCCTGTGTGTGTGTGTGTGTGTGTGTGTGTGTGTGTATTCAAAAATTGTTTTACCAATTCTGACATTCGAAAATTGATTTACCAAACGACTGAAAGAACATCTTCATCGCTGTTGAAGAAAAAAGGTAATAGCAAAATGTCAGTGAAGAGTTGAATTTTCCAATGAGCAATGCTGGGGAGATACCAAATAAATGGGGCTGGTTCTCATGTCAGGGCCATGACCAGGGAGGCCGGTGGATGGGAAGTACTTGATGAATATGCTGTGTTTAGAACGAGGGAGAGGAAAATGTAGGGAGGGCTTATGAGGACCCACTAACAAACAATGGTATCTGAGCACATGGAGGAGAGACCTTTAAGAAGTAAACAGCTAGTAACATATAGTCAGTAGACTTGCTGACCCTTTCAGTATTCATAGTTAGTGCGGACAACTGGACTAGTTAGTTTCTCATGTTTGAGACCTTCCTAGCATTCTCGTCCCTGATTACCTTTTAATCTCCATCTCCAACCCTGGTTACAATACTTTATGAGTGGATAATTTGGATTCACATTTTCTTCACTCTGATTCTTAGAATTTCTCTATTTATCCTTTTCATCTACGTCTGCAAGTTACTCAGATGTAGTCAGTGGACAAGGAATGAAGGGTGGAAAGTATTTATTATGTCTGTCAAGTGCTCGCACACAATGCTGAAATGCATGTTAAAATATCAAATAAACTGACAAAGTACTCATATGCCATTTCTGAGGGATGCAGTAAGCCAAATGTGAACAGTGCTAAAAACAGAGCTGCCAAATTCCATGCAAAAGCCAAAAGGGAGATTTGTACGGAGCTGAAAAGAGCTTAACTGTAGATTATCAGCATGATGTTTTTGGCCCTCAGTACCATGACTTGCACTCATTAATATGAATAACACATGGAGGGAGCATACTCTAAATCATTAAGGCTCAGGAGTAGAAGTCTGGTCCTAGGTTCTCCCATTTCTCTCACGGCCTTAGTGTAGGACCTCGTGACTATCACTCAACAAGTAAATATTTAACACGTTTATTGCTCTGCTTCTCTACTTGAAATGGTCACCTGGGCATTTGGGAGAATTAACAGAGTTATGTCTTTAAAACACTTTGCAATACTCAGTTATAAAAAGAAATAAAAATTATTTGCTTTTTATGATATGTATTTTAACTAGCAGTCACTATCTAACACCAACACTAAAACATGCATATCTAAAATTAGAAAAATAAAGTAAAACATCATAACCCTAAGCATAAAAATAGGCTAACTAGTACATTAAAATATGTCGAGTTGTTGGAAATAGTTTTTAGTGGTCATCATGATACTGCTCAGTTTCAGGTAAAGGGACATATTCACATGTTAAGAGACTTGCTAAGGCCACAGAGTAGGCTGATAAGAGAAAAAAAACAACACTCAGGCCCAGATGGTTAGGCCCATAAATGTATAAACTTATACCAGCTTCCTCTCAGGGATAAGTGATTCTATTTTTCTCAGCATGTTTTAAAAATCCTGTTTATTTTCCAAATATGTTTTTCAGTAGAATGATTTTATTCCAAAATGTTTACCTTGCTTAAGAAAGCAACTACATGGCACACTGGTAGATTCGATGAGTAGACACTCTAGACTATATGGAATTCATTTTGCTACAAATGAACAAAAAAATTATGCGAGAAGTTTTTCATATGATTTATTGCTTATTTGGTTAATAAGGATTTAATCTAGCGGAGATTTCAGCATCTAGAAGCTATGCGTAACTTATATTTTATATGTTGTCGGCACCTTCCATAGTGTCTGGCATATAGAAGGTGCTCCACAGACACTAAGTGTATCTGCTATATTCCCAGTTGTCAAAGGCTTAGAAATAATAGCTTTGAATATGGTATGTTTCTCTTCCAAAAAAGAAAAAAAGATAAAAAGCCTGCATATGTCCCAATCCTTTGATCATTCCATAGGTAACTTTTAGTTCTCTGTGACTACATTTCTTTACATGGAAATTTTTTTGTGATTTCAAGAGTGGGCCAGCCTGTGGCTATGGTAAAAGTGACTCTATGACTTCTGAGACTAGGTCATTAAAGGGTACAGCTTCTACCTGGTTCTCTCTCTCTCTCTCTCTCTCTCTCTCTCTCTCTCTCTCTCTCTCTCTCTCTCTCTCTCTCTCGATGCTTGCCCTTGAAACCCAGCCATTGTGCTGTAAGAAAGCCCAAAGTAGCACAGAAGAGACCCACATGGAGAAGGAATAAGGTTCCCAGTTGACAGACATAACAGTGAGAACCCTGAGATGAGTACAGAATCAAACCTTTGATTTCCCTCCCCCAACCTCAGCTAATGCCAAGCTGAGCAAAGATGAGCTGTTTCCATTAAGCCACATACAATTACTGATTCATGAGCAAAATAATGTTCATTGTTTTGAGCCACTAAGTTCTGGACAATTTGTTATGCAGTCCCAGTAACTGAAACAACTGCAATGTAATGCATGGCTTTTTAAATAAAAATATCTAATATTTGAATTAAATAATTCCCCAAACACATAAAACTCCATCATATTTTTAAGTTATAAATTAATAATCATTATATAATTAGTGTTAACTACATGTGTGTTTAATTCCTTCCTTCCTCCTTTCGTCCATCCATCCATCCATCCATCCATCCATCCATCCACTGCATCTAAATGTTCATCTCCACAAATGATTTACTAGATTGACCATATACGGTGTGGTTTTCAGATAGGAAGGTAGGATGCATGAGGTTACAGGCCATTTCTGGAACTCATATCTTCACCTAAGAACTAGTTGTACTACTTTTGATATTAACAGTTCTCTATAATAAATTTGTACTTTTGTAGCTGTTACCGATGTTCTTATTTTCATGTATAATGTCCTGGGGAAAAAAACTGATTTGGTGTCAAAGGAACTAAGTTCTTGCTTTAAGATCAATGCTTAATAGTAAGTTATTTGTATTTATGGGCATTAATTTTTTCATCTTTAAAAGGAGAAAATAATTACCTCATTCAGTTGAGAGAAATAAATGAGATACAGTAGTCCATCCTTATCCATAGTTTCAGTTACCAGCAGTCAAAACAGCTCAAAAATATAACATTGAAAATTCCAGAAATAAATCATTCATAATTTTAAATTGTGTGCCTTTATGAGTAGTATGATAAAATCTCACGCCAACTTGCTCCATCCCACCGGAACGTGAATCTCCCCTTTGAGCATCGTCTCCATGCTGTATACCCTTCCCACCTGTTAGTCACTTAGTAGCCATTTTGGTTGTCAGATCGACTGTATCAGTGTCAGTCGATCTTGTGTTCAGGTAGCCCTTATTTTACTTAACAATGGACCCAAACGCAAGAGTAGTAATGCTGGCAAATCAGATATGCCAAAGAGATGCTGTAAAGTGCATCCTTTACGTGAAAAGGTGAATACAGTACAATAAGATATTTTGTGTGCGAGAGAAGACATTAACATAACTTTATTACAGTATATTATAATTGTTTTATTTTATTGTTAGTTACTGTGATCAATCTCTTACTGTGCCTAATTTATAAATTAAATATCACAGGTATGTATATATATAGGAAAAGACACAGTAGATATAGGGCTCAGTACTATCTGTGGTTTCAGGCATCCACCAGGGGTCTTGGGATGTATCCCATAGGATAAGGGGGGACTACTATAATATGTTTGAAGCACAGAATACGTTTATTTTAAATCATCAAAAAGAGGTGAAGGCAACTATATGTTCACTTAAGTGCTCCAATACTAATCCAAATTGGACAACATTATAGATTATAAGCACATACACCCATTTCTCTGAAATTTAGCTCTCAGCCAGAGAGATCACAGTTTGTATCCTATTTGAATGGAAGAATTATGAATTCAGGTTGCTTAGCATATTATAGGAAAATTGATTTTTAGGACCTGTCTCTTTTCATCAGATACTGGGGAATTAAAAAAAGTAAAAACAACAAAAACAAACAAACAAACAAATAAAACTCCCCTCAAATTCAGTGAAAAGTATTGGAAAGGACTGAATCAAGATACTTTTAATCTAAAATATCCTATCTATTATTCTCTGTACAACTTCTACATTTCCTTTGATGTTCAACTTAATTCAGCCCCTCTAGTTTCTTGGTATGTGCAGAATCTAAATGTTCCACTAGGGAAATGTTTATTTTCTGCTGATAGACTGACAACTATTGCAAAGCACAAATTAACAGCAGTAGTAACCTAGTAGTAACCTTACAATACTGCAGACTTTAGCGAAATAAAATTTACATTGCAGTTTCTTATTTAAACTTGTAGTCATTGCCCACTCTTCATCTATTCCACTCAATAATTATTTAAATTAATGAAAAATGTGACTGGCTGACCAATGCATGAAAAACACAAATATCTTATTTAATGAAAGTTTTACCAAAACCCTTTGTTTCGGAACCTGAAAACTGAACACCGTTCCTGTAATAAGAAAATTATACATTTCCTTTTAGTAGCATACATCCATTTAGAATTTTGTGAGATCCTTTTTTTTCCTCTCTTGACAAAATCTTGTTAGAATTATAGCTTTCCATTTGAGGAACATTCTCCTGATTCATTCTATACTGTTTATAAGTTCACTTCTCACGCTACCTTTGGCTACAAAAATAAGACAAATTTATGGGAATCACAAATTGAAAGGGAAAAAATCTACAAAATCCTATGGGTCTTTAAATAATGATTTATCCAACTGTATTTTCCCCTTTAGTTAACTTTTGGGAAAAGTATAAACTGGAGAGTTCTCATGCTCCATCTCTCTCATGTAGTTCATTGAAAGAACACAATTACATTGTTTGGTGGGGCTGGAGACCTTAGAGGTTGGTGTCTCATGTATATTAAATATGAAAGTATATGTTTTTAACACTATAGAATGGTCTAAAAGACTATGGTCATAGCAATACTTACCCACCAGGAGGTGATACACTTCACAAGTGTCAGTTGTTTTATTACTTTTCTTAGAAAGAAGAAAATAATGTGCAAGAAGATTTTTAGCTTATCTATAAGCCAGTTAAACTATATTTAAATGTGAGTTCTCTTACTAGAAGACTGAATTCAACCTGAAATATTTAAACTTCATCAGCAATTCTAAATATCACATACTAACAAAATTTAGACCTGAATTTGAGTTTAATGTTTTTATTTGTTCTATATTCTTTTTAACATTTCTTTTTAGCTTTGCTTACAATCTTGGAAAAGTTTCCCCTGATCTCAGGTACAGTTTTGTTTATGCACACATTTCCCAGTTCAACCTTATATTAGATTTCACATGTATTTTCAAAAGTAATTCAGTTACACTCAAAGATGAATATAAGACATCAATACAACATCTTTGATATTTGAAGAATATATAATTATTTAAACATTTTGATAGAGACCAAGATTTATAATTTACATGGTGGAAAGCATTTGTTAGATGATGACTATAATGATGATATTTCAGAGTTCTATCTTCAATAGTTACTAATAACCTAGTTTTTATTATAATAGTGCTGCAATCTCTCTCTTTTATTTTTATTTATTTATTTTTAACATGACACAGAATACATCTTTCTCATGTTTATGAAATGACTTGTGGCTGTTTGAACTCTTTTGGGTTTCTGGGAGATTCAGTTATAATTGAAGGTGGCACCCATGAAATGTGCACATATACTAAAAAATTCCATGATTTCCAAAACAAGCACAATAGTTTTGAAGTCACATTAGGAAGTTCATTTAAAAACGTAATCATTTTGCCAGGATAATAAACCCCAAGACCATTAAAACAGAGAGCAATGTGATCAAAAGATGATATCCCCAATCAAAAAGAAAAAAAAAAGTACAAACTCATAGTTTTTATCCACTGTCAATTGGCTATTACCCTCAGTAGTTGGCTTCTAAAATGCATGCTAGAAGAGACACAGAAATATCGTTTTCCTTTGATACACCAAAGGAACAACCTGACACTTTCCACCTCCATGGCATTTGTAACTGTGGCATACACATTTCTCCAAAAAGCTACGGCTTCTTGACATCAGTTGGCTGTCTTGCCAGTATTTTGCTTGATGCCAGCTTTCCTCTTAGCTTGCACAGCTATAAATTGCCAAGTGATGGGCTATAAAGGCAGATCTTTGCTTTGAAGTCTTGTTAATGAATTAGAAAATGCAAATATCAGACTTCTTACCTTGAACTGACAGACGCAAGTCACAGTGTCTCCAATTCTTAAACATTCTCCATCAAATTTACAGGTGTTGGTGTCACAGAGGAAGAGATCATTTTCTCTGTCATCATAACCTCAAATTGGAAGAGAACACTCCAGTCATTAAAGTGACTTTAACAAAAAAGTGGCGCCTTGAAGCTTTAAAAGTACTACTCTAAATTTTAGTTCCAACCACCACAGTTGTACTGCAAGGTCATTCTCTGCTGATAACTTTAAAAAATCTAGTTAAGTGATCAATATTTGTTTCTTTTTTCCACAGTTGCTTTCTAGTCAATTCTCTTTTAATATCTTTTTTTGATAGTGCTATTTGATTTTAGCTTGGGTTAATACTGGCAATGCTGAATGAATGTGTAACACTTGCATCCTACCTTCCTTATTTTTTTTCTCATTAAGTGGATTATAGTTTATGACCCCCCAAATCCACATTTTAGAAAAGAGCTGGTGATGGTCTCTGAATGTCATTTTACCATTTCTCCATCTTTAATCATTCTTTTGCTTTACAGTCTGAAACAACCCCTTATCTGGAATTTCTCCAGACAAAGAAGAAACAAAGCCCCAATAATAAAGATAAACAGGCACAGTGTTTTCTGTGATGGTCTGTCTGGCTCAAATGAAGATTGATCACCTCTAAGTTAACAGGGGTGGGAGGGGGCTGCCAGATTCTTGACAATCTGCCTGGAAAATCTATTCATTCTCTCTACTTTCTACAGATCCCTTTATGATATCCAGCTAATAATGAATTTTGTCATTGCCAACCTCAATTTCACATTCAAGTTATAGTTATTTCCTAAAACAATAGTATAGTTAGGGATGAAGCCAACCAGTCATGCTGGACTACAAAGCTATCAATGTTTCAAACAGTTGATTTTGTAGGTTATTTAATATTCCTATGATAAAGCACCTAAAAAGTGGTTAGGCACCTGCAAAGTCAAAATTAGTGTTTCCAAAATAACACACATGCCTTTTGAACCACAAGTAAGTTACAGAAAACATGTTGAATTTTATAAAAATGCCAAATTTAGGAATTCTCAAAAACAGAACAAAGGCTATTGATACCGATATTTAATAGGGTTGCAAATCTTGTATTTAAAAAGCACAAACCACAGCGATGCATAATAATTCTCCTTGTGGAATTTACATCACTAACAACCCAGGACTACATACTCTTTCATCCTGTAAGTTACAGTTGGTCATTACCTCCTTTCTAAAGTTACATACACTTGAACTCACATACATCTCTTGAAAACCACTTTATTTAGAGTCAGATTTAACTATAGCAGGATTATATTCACAGAAGATGAAAAATTATATACACACTTGCTAAAACTAGAACAGACCAGAGCTAAGGGACGATACCCTGACGTGTTAATGGAGTTTAAAATGCCAATGAAATCACACCACAATCCAGCCCGGTATACGAAGGGCTGTCATGCTGAAATGCGAATCCAGCTCCGAGTGCGGCAACTCCCATCCGCCGGCCCTATTTCATTAGGAGGCTTCGGCAGAGCAAAGCCTGCCAAGCTCTGGAGTCCAGACTCTGAAGAGACCCAAGTGAGCAAGAAGAGCGACTGACCCATCCCAAGGAAGTCTGCCCAGAAATGGAGGAGTCAGTGCCCAACGGGGTCGATTCCGTTCTTTGCCAGGTGGCGCGTGAGCCTGGCCGGCCTTGGTCATGCCCACCCGGGCCTGGGAGACCTAAGAATGATTCTTTTCTCAACTTCCCTCCACCATCTAGGAGCTTGGGGAGGCAAGAGTGGTATCTGTGGGCTGCCAAAACAATGTCTGTTGCAGTCAAGGAGAGAAGGAGGATGAGAGGATGAGAGGGAGAGAGGGAGGGAGGGAGGGAGGGAGGGAGGAAGAGAGAGAGAGAGAGAGAGAGAGAGAGAGAGAGAGAGAGAGAGAGAGAGAGAAGCTGATTTTGAATCTCTTGAAAACCAAGCTCTTTTAGAATCTGTGTAACCTGGTCTTGAACGCAAGACCAGTGACCCCTCATTGCACTTTTGCCAGGAATCACTGTTTCCCCTGCAGTCATCTGATTTATTGCTTTGTCACTCATTCCTTCTCATAAAGTTATTTGTAGCTCGTTCTAGCTAGACTTTTTTCTTTAGTGATGGGGAAGATTGTTTTGGTGTTTTCCCAAGGATTTGGTGCTCTTTTCAGCGAATCCACAAAAGCATCCCGTTTAATATTTCTCAAAATCTTCGCAGTTCCAACGTAAGTGCAAGGCTACAAAGGCTCCTAAACCTGCACTTTCTGCCCCCACCAGACCCTCCGTCCGTCCCCGCCTCCCCCCGGCCTATCTTAGTGGCCCGGAACAATTATCTGTGCTTTTCTGGGTGAAGGTCGGTCGTCTCAAGGGTTTGGGGCAGTAGGAAGTGAGGGGCTGGGGAGACGCGCTAGGTGCGGTAGGCTGGTCTGTGCTGGAAAAGCGCCCTTTCCTCTGCGGGGTTGAGGGGTCGGGAGCTGGGGTTCTGGACTTACCAGAGCAGTTCCAGCCGGTGGGCGTTTGGCAGTCACTTAAGGAGGTAGGGAAAGCCGCAAGCTTCACCGGGCGGGCAATGATGAGTAGCATCACCGGCAGCAGCAGCAGCCAGCAAAAGCCCTCGCAAAGTGTCCAGCTGCTGCACTGCCGCGGGGACTCCCACAGCACCATGACTAGTTCGCGCAACTCTGCAGCAGCAAACGGCTTCCGAAGAACACACTATCGCGGGGGCCGGGCAGCGGGCTACTGAGCATCCCGCGGACGACGGCAGCAGAAGCAGCGGTGGTGGCAGTGGCACCTGACGGCGAAGCCGCAGCGAAACCCGAGCATGATCTCGAGAGTTTCAGCAACATCCAGTGACCCGGCTCAGCCCCAGCAGCGAGAGGGTCGTCCGCTGAAAAGCTATGCCGGAGGCGCGGGAAGCTACTGCCATAAGGGGAGGGCTCTGGGAAGCCGGGGGAGCAGGAGACCGGAGTCCAGGGACAGAGGAGAGGAGCCCAAGGAGGCTGGGTGGAGGAAAAGTCAAAACGCCCCGCAGCCTAGCAGCCGCCTCTCGCGCTCTGCCGCCCGCATCCCCCTGGCGTTTGGGAAGCAGCAGGTCCTTAGCCCGCCCGGGATCACGTGGGAAGAGGCAGTCGGACGCTGATTGGCGGAGCGGGATGCAGGTCCCGGGAGGGAGGGGTCGGCGAGGAGATGCAAGGAGAAGGCGACGGCGGATGCCACAGATGGGCTAGCTCGCCAGCGATGCCCCGAGTGGGGCCAGGCGGGGAAGGTTCCAGGGAGACGCGCAGGCTTCTGGTTGGGCTACTCCCACACCTATACATACCACCTGCCCTTTCACTCGCCGCCCCAGGACGCCCCCTACCGAGCGCAGGGTCAGTTCTAGCTCCCCACCGCCGTGCTTGACCCCGGGGTGCGAGCGGCGGCCGCGGCTGGGTGGCGTCTTCAGAGCTGGAGCTGGTGAGGGCGGAGGAGGCGGAGGAGCCGTAGCAGCAGGGCGAAGAGGGGAAAGCGGGCACTGAGGAGAGGGCGTCCTGCTTGCGCCCCGCGCTTCAGCGTGCGGAAGGGCGCCCCCTGGCCGTCACCGGATACAGGCTGGGGATACCGCGGCGGAGAGCCCAGGGACATTTCTCTAGGGAGTAGCAAAGAGCCAGAGAGGGTGAGAGGCGGTGGTGTGAGAACAGCCCTGGTAGGCCAGGAAGCAGCCGCAGTTCCCACAGGAGACTGCGACCCTGAGGCTGCTCTCCCAGCTGGCTCAACCAGCCTTCCAGGCTCTCTCTTCTTCCTTTTCTCTCTCTCCTGCCCTCCCTAGCCCCCTGCGGCCCCGACCCAGCCGGAGGAGCCGAAGGTTTGAAGCCCCTCTGCCTATCACTCGGTCATCTCCAGCCTGGAGCCTATTTGTATGGCTGCCTGGGAGATGCGGGCAAATGTGTTTCGAAGGTCAGATTTGGTCGTGACAAGTGGGCAGAGAGAGGGAAGGGAAGGCTCCTCTGCATCAGCAACGGGTGGGTTGCCGGCGCATCCTCCGGGAAGCGGCGTGGGGAAGAGCGGCTCAGTTTGGTGGCGCGGGTAGTGGCCCAGGGAGCTTTACGCGGGTCTCCCCAATCGCCAGTGACCTGGACAATGCGAGAAGGTCTAACTTGGCAGGAGTCTCCCGCTCTGCGCCTTTCTTTCTTTCGCTCCAGCCTGCGTTGTGCAAACAGCGTAGCGAGACCCGCCTTCCGCCTGCTGCATTCTTCACGCAGTTAGACACACTCTTTAGACTAATGGTATTTTAGTCGCTAGTAACGGGACCCAGAGCTTCCCGGGACAGGGATGGAGAGGAGCATCTTTCTGTCGTGACCCTGGTCGTTATTGAAGTCACAGTGTTTGGATGAGTTTTCGTTTCTACGTAATGGTTTAGTGTTTTCTGTGTAATTGTTCAGTGATTCAGGAATTTTTTTTCTTCTCTCCCCGCACCCTCCCTCTATTCCTTTTTCTTTCTTTCTTTCTTTCTTTCTTTCTTTCTTTCTTTCTTTCTTTCTTTCTTTCTTTCTTTCTTTCTTTCTTTCTCCCTCATCTCTTCATTTTTTCTCTTTTAAATCTCGCCTTGCCCCCTCTCCTTCTGTGTCACCTGAATTTAGAAGAGCATTGTTTGATAGCATCTCACAGGCAATTAGTGTCCATCCCCAATCACTTAAAAGAGGCACTAATATACTTTGAAAACAGGAACTATCTATCCTTTGCAGGCACCGCCAGAAAAACAAATTGTACCCAAGCCATCCTTTTAAGTACTTTAACCTCCAACCTCTTCTCACTTCCTTGCTTTTTAACTTCTCCTTTGAGAGATGTGATCGTGCAGCACCTCGGTGCCTCAAAGAAATCTAATTTTTTCCTGTGTGAAACCCATTCCTTTATCTTACATCTCCGCCTCCGCCCGGAGATTGCCCCCACCCCCCCGCCCGCCTCCAAAGATTTCTGAATCTGTCTCTCTCTCTCCTGGCAATTAAGCAGCAGATCCCAGCATTACTAGTCGGTGGCATCTTGCTCCTTCCTCACCAACGAAGACTCCATTAAAACAGATCAATTTGACCAGACGTTGGAGGCATCAGAAAATCGACTTCTAGACAGCGCAGCTAAATTCTTTAAGGAAACGAAATGCCCATTAGATAGAGCTGCCAGCCGATATTTCAAAAAAAGGAACCAGAGATGTTTTTCGCTGCCCCCTTTCAGCAGAAACGGCAACATAAATATACGCTTAATATAGATCAAGATTTAACAACTCCCCAGTTCAGAGTGAGAACATGTCATTTTCCATAGCAAGGCTGGTGTGGTAACTAATCAGGCTTATGAAAATAAGTCATGCTTGAAACTAAAGGCAAAGTCCTTAAGAGTGTTTACTCAGTAATTATGATAATGAAACAGGACTTGCTAGAATTTCAGTGCTTGGCTATATAAGTAGAATTTTACAGAACCTCTTAGCAGACTAAAAGTGTTATTGAATTCTCTGCTAAGTAAAATTTTGGCATGCTTTCTAGTAATATGTACTCTTCCTAAGACATTTTGCTCAAAGTAACTTAAAACTCCAAAGGAGTTAATTACCGGTTGTGACTGGTTAACAAATGCAGTTGCTTCCACAGAGGTTCTTTAAATTATTAAACAGTTTGAAGCAAAGCCTTTTCAATAGGAATGCTGTGATTTTGTTCAGCTTACCTTGTGCTTAGTGTTACAGTGCCACCAAGAAACAAATTCTGAAACTGGCAAGCACCACCAAGTGGCAGAAGAGCATCATTCACTGAACAGGCCATAGTATTATTGAACACATAAATAAAATACATACATTATTTCGCCTCATCATTAGTACAAAGGAAGTAGACAGGCATTAAATTGTATAGCAATGAAGGTTGCCTTTGTGGTTGGATGAGTGTTTCAACCTTTCCTCTAACAGGGTCCAATCAGTTTACTTACTAAACCTGAATTTAAAACTAGGTCTACAAGAATTGTACTTTGCATTGAATATTATATGATTATTAGTAATGCAATACAATCATATCATGCATTTGTGAAGTTTCTTATTTTAAAATAGTATACAATATTTGTTTTCACTATCCCTGGGTTAAAACAGTTTATTTGTGACATACACACTCTAGAATTGACTCAGAGGAGGTAAAAATCAAGCTGTCATATTTTTTAGGTAGAAATAGCACAACAATGTTTTCCAGAAAACTTTGTTTTGGATTTTTTTCCGCCACACATGGAAAGGACATCATCAGGAAACGCAGCAGAAAGTGTTGGCTTAGGTCTTGGGCCTCTTATCCTCTGAGAAAGGAAACTATAGCTGAGAATGATCCACTGCATGAAATGTCCATGCAGCCTCTTTGTCTGTCTTTTTTATGGAGCACAAGTAAGACCCAAACTTACTAAATGTCAACCATGAGCAATGAGATGCAGTGTTGCCATGCTTGGAATTCATATGAATTACTCGAGGGGCTTTTCTAAAGAGACAGATTCTGGGTCTCACTAGCAGGGATTCTAATTCAGAAGTCTGGGGGTTGGACCACGGAATCTATATTTTAATCTATCTTTGAGAACTAAGATATACCTATATGACGAGCGAAAAGATATCTGGATTCTTGCTCTCAGATTTCACAGGACTTTTGCAGAGAGGTTTCTAAGATTGAATAAAAGCTTATACTGAGTACACAGAAGAGGTGCTGTGCACATCGGTCTCTCTAATACCATTAAGGATTGAATTTTTGTATGCATGTGTTCACCAATATGTATTAAGGTTCTGATATCTCTGACTTCCTAACTTTGTGACTGTAGAAAGTTTTCTCCTTTGTAGAATGTGAATAATAATAATCTCTACCTCCTAGAGTTAGTTCTTCTGAAGTTTAAAGGAGAAATAATATATGACTTAATTGTGATGGTTTTGGGGAGAATGCCTATATAAATGAATGAATGACTAAATAAATGTGTGTTTGTAGCTAGCTATATTTCTGTTTATACTTATATATAATCAAAAGTAACTAAGGATACCAAGTCATACATGTATGATATTAAATTACATAAATTATTGATAATGAAGTATAGTATTATTTTCATATCTAACCCAAAACCTTAACATTGTGTCTCTTGACATCTAGCCTGTCTCAGATATATTGATAGATATTCCTACCTAAGATAGGTAGATGGATAGAAAAGATAGGTAGCTGGATAGATAGATAGATAGATAGATAGATAATAAGGTTCCAAATCATTCGTACCTTAGTTTTCATTTATAATTTATTAATATAAAATGCATATTATATTATCGCAATTAATAAGTATGATAGAACACTAAGTGTTTAATTTGTAGATCAAATGCCATTGACAATGTTTCTGAGAAGTCATCTTCATTTCTGGTTGAATTTCTTTTTTTAACTCATAGTAATTAAATTTGCTATTTTCTACCCTTTGATGCACAAATAAATAAGCAATAATTTAAATGAATAATTTTATAATGTAAAAATTTTCTGATGCCTTTTAGATTCCTGTGTCCTTAATTATTTTTGATAATTTATGTTTAGATTTATAATTTCAGTACTGGAGAAATAATTTCTCTCCTCCCAGTCATGACTATATATTATAATCACCTGAGAAATTAAAAAAATACTGATGCAGGGTTCCCCAGTCCAAGATTTGGAATTTCTGGAGGTGAGGCAGAGATATTGGTATATATTTTTTAAAGTTTCCCTGGTGATTGTACTGCACAGCAGTTGTTGTTGATAGGCACTGCCATGGGGAAAATGAAAGAGTGGGTGTTTCCTCAGTCTCCAAGTATTCCAGTATTCAGCAGGTAAAAAGAGTGATTTTTTTTCACTTAAAACTTTAAAAATAAACATCTCACAAAGGGTGCTCTTTGATTACAATATTTAACCAAAGTAATATGCAGCAGTTAATATTTGGCACTAGTTTTCCAAGAGCTTGATATTTAATCACAGCCTTATCTTAGGGCTTAGTTTAAATCTTCAAATCTCATTATGAAACTTTTTTTTCTTTCTCAGTCATAACCAAAAGCTTAAATCAGTTTGGGATGAAACTGCTTTTTATATCTGTCTTTGGCTGCTTGTTGGCTAAATTAGAAGTGGAATACTCCCTGGCTTTGTGAAAAGAAATAGTAGCAGTAGTTATCCCAATTT